CTCAGCCTACAGCTTCAATACTTTTAATTTTTTTTGGCGTTTTTTTTAATTATAGTCGAAACTATACTACCTAGTATTCCATACTTCTGCACCACTACTTTATTTTTGTATTCCACTGTACACATCTTTGATCAAATTCATTTTTTCTGCAAAATTAAGGGATATTTGTTACGATATTTTGAACACACTTCTTAGGTTCATAACAGCAAACTGAACTTGTGCTGAACTGACAAACTAACATAGGGAGGGGCCAATAGACTGAAGGGCACGCAATTGAATCTCAGATCCCTTTGGCATATGCACTCCCACTACTGACAAGTTTTCAGAGAGAGGGATAGCTACCAAACAGGTATGCTACAGCATAACTAACTCGTAGGTACTCTGTAGCATTGCATTGCTTTGTAAGAAAGATTATTTCTCTAACATATATTGCAAACTCGGATCTGAAATCTTCCACTTAATCTTACAAATATATTACAATGTAACAAAATACAGTATTTACTTCATTATAAGCGGACACCAATCCAACCCAACAAAAAAATGAACGACATAATGAAGGGGGAAATAAATAAATAAATGAGCAAATTTATTTATTTAAATGAAACACATTTGATACTTAATGCTCTCAGACCACTGATTTCTATAGGTTTTAGAGATCATTGACTCAGACGCTGTCATCGAACGACTCAAGACTCTTCACTTGACTCTTTGTCACTTTTGTCCATGAAAAGAAAGTAACCATCAGTGCTGTCAAGGGCATTTGAGATTGAGAATATTTTAAAAGCCCTTGTGACAACTTCTCTAGGAATACTTATCCAGGAGCATCTATCCAAGCACACCCTTGCAATAGACTAGCCCAAGATCACTGAAAAACAAGGACTGCTGGGGTTGGTCCCAGGCTTGGTGGCCCGAACCAAGTGTGTTTTGCAAGTGGCAACACTGCTTTATCTGAACTGTCACTCAGAATTTTAATCAGACAATTATATATTTCAAATTAATACACATGGTGGCTTTATGCGGATTTTATTCATACTTTCTACTGCTGCATGGTCAACGAAAAATAGGTATCTTTACGGATGTCTGGTGTCAGCTACATTATAGCAATTCAATGATACTGATTTTAGGTCAATTTTTGTAATACAAAAAAGGGGGAAAAGGTCAGCTTACAATTGGGTATATATGGCATGTAGTAATAAGTAAAATGCGTCAAAATATATAATTGTATCAAAATATTTTTTTTTTTAAATTGTTATAATTTTTTCAGAACATCTTGTAAGCTCTAAAAAAAAATTGTTGACTGCAGGCATCTTATTCCTGCAATAATATGTATTTACATGAAAATCTGGTCCCTAGCTATAATTGACTTGTACCTCAACCTGTAATGTTGACTCAACCTTTAATTTGTAAAAATTTTGCTGTAACCCATCCTATAACTGGTAAAATAAAATAAATAAATATCCCTCCTTTTAAGTAGGTTGAGGCTTGTGAAGGTCATTGTAAGATAGGGGAACGAATTTTAAAGGAGTTAGGTCTACCATCATCTGTAACATTTGACGATTATGTCAATATCAACTGAAACAAGTCACTGCATCACAGAGTGACAGCGTTAAATCCTTTAACTACATCACAAAAGTACTTTTCGGTATAAAGTATTAATAAAATTATTTTATGATATACTTTATACTGAGATTTCACTGCATTATTTGCCACATCACGTAAATACAACTTTTCTTCCTTTCGCAGGGGTCCAGGCTTGATTCGAATGCACAGTTTTTTAATTAACCAGCCATTTCTCAATGTTTTGAATTTCAATTTCCGTGTGATTTCCAGAAACCCCTGGCAAAATATTTTTGAAGCATTATCTGCTGCAGTCTGCCATTTGATATTAAATCCATGAAAATTATGATACAAACCATTATATACATGCTTAATTCTGAAAGTTTTATGAAGTATTTTGTGTGCTCTTTTAGCCTTGTAATGAGTGTAAATCAATTTTCAAATTATAAATCATGCATACCTTGGCTCTTCATCCACTGTAATAGGACTTTCATGTGAAGGTTTTAACACTTCGACTAAGGGCATGATAAGTGAATGGTAACAAATTGTATGGCCAAGAACAGTTTTCTTAACCAATCTAGTTTTCTTTTTCTCAAGTTCCATTTTCTGGAATTTTTCTGTAATGAGACACATACAATATGACATAATTTTAAACTGAAGAAACAGATAAATATGTAAAAAAATAAACATGTACGGAAATTTAATTTTTACCCAATGATTTAAGATTTTCTTCCTCTGTGATTTTTGCTTCCTCCAGAAGTTCTTCTTGAGTCAGTTTGCGCATATCAGTAGTCTTTCGGCGCCGCCGCTTTCTACCTTCCTCTGAGCGTTCCTTTAACCTCTGTAGTGTTTCAGCAGATTTTGCAGCAGTTGATCTTCGAATTGATTTACGTTCTACACAATATTCTACTTAGTACACCTTAATTTTGGACAATTATTTGAAATGAAACTTTGACTACATTGCAAAAGTACTGTTCAGTATAAAGTATAAATAACAAGATTTTACAATGTTCTTTATACTTAGATTTCATTGTATTATTTACCACATCCTGTGAAAGTATTCACTTACCATAGTTGTCTAACATAATATGAACTCTTCTCTTCCGAGTTTTCTTTGGTTTTGCTTCAGATGGTTTTTCAATTTTCTTGACAGGATCGGGTTCCTAAACAATAAACGAAAATGAGAAATAATAATTCAATAGAACATGTAAAACAACTGTTACATAATGAAATATTAATAATCCAGTCAAGAAAGTAATACCTTATAAGCTTTAGTGACCAATTTTTTGCTTCTTTTTGGTCCTTCCTCTTCATGATCTGACACAGGTTCATCATTTTCATCAATACTAAAGTCAGAATCTACTTCATCCTCTGCTTCCTCTTCAGAACTATAATTTTACACATGTGTAAATAGAAAAGATTTATTTTTCTAAATGTTACAGTAGTAAAAATTCACAAACTTACTGATAATCATCATCATTTTCAATTTCATTGAAACCTCCATATGTAGTTTTGTAGAACTCATCTTCTTCTTCTTCATCAAGAAGTTTGGCCATACGAGCTCCCGCATTGTTACGGCGATCTCTTGTTTTAGCAAGAGCCATAATTGCACTAGAAAATCATTAACTCACTTACTAATAAGAAATTATAATAAACTACCTGCAAAAATATTTATTATAACAGGTTATAAATTTGATAAACAATTTCAATGACTGTATTATGTACTACATCCCAATTACTGCTATTCATAAAATAATTGGAAGACTGTTGCCCTAATAATAATAATAATAATAATAATAATAATAATAATAATAATAATAATAATAATAATAATAAATTCATGAAGTATAGCATTGCTGGTATATGTTTAAGGTAGTGAAGTAACATTTAATATCCAAGAAGCAAACTATGAACTTCGGGGATTCACTTTCAGGACCGTGTAGAATCACGACTAAAACCATGGTTGAGATGGAGTTAAAAAGCATAACATTTAGCCATCACGTCAACTGAATATTTGTTTACGAATGTGACTATTGCAAAGCAACACACGTACCTTACACAGACTCCAAAATTAGACCACTCACACTTTGCTGCAACTTATCCACAGATTTCCAATGGAGAAATTCTTTCTAAATTCGTCTATTTAATCTTCACACATTTCACTCTCGCGGTTTCGGACATCACACACCAAAGAGTATCTTGTCAAACACAGACACAACATCTGATCAAAGATCTTGCATCATGGACACAGAACTTCCATTTAATCATAGTCTGTCGACGTTTTTAACGGTTACGGTGTCATCCAATCGGAGCTTTAAAAGTCACAATGGAATTGTTAAATCTTGTCCAAATTACGATATAACACTTGGCGGCACGAAAGTGTTACGATGCAAGCAAAAAAGATTCCTAAAGAATTAGTAAATTTTTGCCTGTATTATTCGATTACTGCGGTTTATGTTTCGTATCACGTTTGTTATTTACAGTTATTCACAGCACACATTTAAAACATTATTTCTAATATCCCTCATAACCTTCATGTTAGCATTTTTTATCACACGAATTTTCAATTTCTGTTTATTACCTCATCTTTATAAATATTTAATACTTCCAATATGTAAGTGTGTATGTGTAAGTATGTGTGTCTGTGCGCGTTTGCATACATACCCGTACGCGCACAGACACACATACTTACTTATACTTACATACACGAAATCAAATGAAACCCACACCCCGAATTTTGGGGATAAAAATTTCTAAATACCTTAAGTTCATGCGTTCAATTTCGAAACTAATAGTCGGATTGACATCTGCTTTACACCATTGAATAGATGTAGTCGAGAGTTGTATATATAAATTTGTGATTTCAGAATGAAACTACGAAATTAAGTTTTTTCCAATTTTTTCCCCGAATTTCGAGATTTAGGCTTGAATTAATTTCACGTGTTTAATTTCGATACTAATAATCGGATTGACATCTGCTTTGCTCCATTGAATTTTTCGTCGAGAGTTGTACCTACATACGTGATTTCAAAATGAAACTACGAAAATAAGTTTTTTCCAATTTTTCCCCCGATTTCAGGATTTTGGCTTCATTTGATTTTATGCGTTTAATTTCGAAACTAATAGTCGGATTGACATCTGCCTAACACCATTGAATTTCACGTAGAGAGTTGTACTTACGTGATTTCAGAATGAAACTACGAAATTAAGTTTGTTCCATTCCCCCCCCCCCCCGAATTTCGGGATTTTGGCTTCATTTGATTTTACGCGTTTAATTTCGAAACTAATAGTCGGATTGACGTCTGCTTTGCACAATTGAATTTCTCGTCGAGAGTTGTACTTACATATGTGATTCCAGAATGAAACTACGAAATAATTTTTTTAAATTTTTCCTCCGAATTTCGGGATTTAATCTTCATTTCATTTCACGCGTTTAATTTTGAAATTAATAGTCAGATTGACGTCGTCTTTGCGACATTGAATTTCCGCTCGAGTGCTGTACCTACATACGTGATTTCAGAAAGAAACTACGAAATTAAGGTTTTTTAAATTTTTTAACCGAATTTCTGGATTTGGGGTTCATTTGATTTCACGCGTTTAATTTCGAAACTAGTAGTCGGATTGACGTGTGCTTTGCACCATTGAATTTTTCGTCGAGAGTTGTAATATAAATCTTTAATATAAATTATTCCAAGAGAAAATGATCGTATTCTCAGAAAGATTCGCAAACTTTTGGTTAGTCCACCATCGGGCAGAGTGGTGTCTGCAGGACACAAAGGGTCTTTCATCCAGAACTTAAAGAACTCATCAATTTAAAGTTCTTATTAACAAAATTAATGGCAAAAGAAAACAAGATATCCGAAAATCATAATCAATGCATTGAATACCGTAAATAATTTACTGAATTTGTATACTTTAAAAAACACGCGAAATTAATTATAATAATAATGATAATAGTTATAGTAATAATAATAATAATAATAAATATTTTTTGAGTCCCATGTACTATCACAATCGTTTATGACGAGTCAATATGATGCCTTGTGTGGAGAGAGCGAAGTTTCTTTTCAGGATCAACAAGGGGCCATTTCAGCATTTGCTTAGAAGACCAGGGAAACTTAACAAAACCTGGTGGAGATGAAGTCATTGGCCTAGAAATACAATAAAATTTACAGTTAAATTAATAAATTATACAATAGATAAATTATCTTCTAATAATTAACATTTCAAGATTTTTTAATGCTACTACTTTTAATAATAATAATAATAATAATAATAATAATAATAATAATAATAATAATAATAATAATGGAACAATGCATATCAATTGCAACTACATCAAATTTAACAATAGTAGCACTGTCTATATTTAAAACTTGAAATTGTGACGAGGCAAGTTTTGACAAGTTTTTTTTCTTCTTTACACTGTAGAACATGTTGTTAAGCAGGAAAGTTTTTAATTTACTTTTAAATGTATGAATTGTTTTTATGTCTTTAATATCATTGCCTAGTTTGTTGTAAAGTGTAATGCCCTCTATTAGGGTACTTTTTTGGTAAAGTGTAGTTTCCGAGTTGGGAAAATGTAGGTTATCCTTTTGACGGCTGTTGTAGTTGTGTACATCATAATTTAAAGTAAAAGTGTCAGCAAATTCATAAAGTTAAGTTGCAGCTAGTTAGACGAAGTCAAAATGGTTTTTTTTCGAACAGCGCTCAGCGACAAGGCCCCCCATCCATTTAGTTGCGGCACCAAGGGCCTTTTTAAGCAAAGGGTCAAAGAGTAAATTCCGTAAACCAAGAAATAGAGCCAAGAGCGCGATCATTTAATGATCTAAAATTGAAGGAAAAATTGCATTAAGAAAGAAAGTATCTGGCTTTAATATTCGAAGTGTTTGACAGATTCGGAAAGGGAGTCACCAGACTCTGAAGAATCATCAGATGGACATTCTTTGGTTTCAAAATGATTTCTTATACATCGATATTACTGCAATATCTTGAATATTGAATGTCATTAAACGGAAAATGTATATTCCAAAGAGAGTATACAGGATCTTTTTCGATTATCTGGGGTGTACATCCTTGCAACCTAAGCACGAGAAGCCCCTTTTCAGATTACCACATATAAACGGGCTCGAAAATGCGTCTCACATTCTAAATTGATTGTTTCCTTGGGATTTTTCTTCTCCCGTGCGAGTTCTCTGTATAAAAACTAATGGGAAGGCGTGGGTTTCCGATACTTTTCCTTCTCTAACGAAGTGTTATTACTAATTAACCAATTATTTAAAACAAGTGATCATTTAATGATCTAAAATTAAAGGAAAACTTGCATTAAGAAAGAAAGTATCTGGCTTTAATATTCGAAGTGTATGACAGATTCGGAAAGGGAAAGAAAAAACCTTTTTGTAATTTTCGGAATTTCAGAGGTTTTAATGAAAATAGGAGCTACATATTTATAAGTTATCTTTTTTCTATTCGAGCAAAAGAACTGGAAAAAAAAATTGTAGCCATATTTCAGAAATTTTGTAAAATCACCGGAGCGTTGTGTAAAGAGCATCAAAAATTAAAATTATGTAATGATATTTGGAACATCACAACTAAATCTAATCCTGACGAATTTACCAAGTTAGAGCTTGAAAGCTTCTAATTTGACAGTTAAGAGGAGGTGCATCGAAAGAAAGCAAGCAAGAGACCTGAGACATTAGATCCACAGGATCCCCTTATTTCAAAGTTGTATTTCAAAGTCCAATACATAAACAGAATTCTGTGCGCAAAATAAATAACTGATAATAGTTAACTTGAATTAGCAGTAAATACATTTTTTAAATTTGTTTTGAATGAAACAGTTCTGGGTTCGAAAATTTTCAATGTCCCAGCATGTGAATGGATCATGAATTCTTGAAGAGAAAAAGGGAATTAAGGATCATGTGAGGAATGAATAACATTATTATAAGGAACACATTATTTATTCCATTTAATTTATTCGTAGTGAAATATTAACACGAGTAATGATTATTATGTCATTTAATTTGCACAGCGCAATTTGGGATTTGAGGATGTTACAAAAGGGATCTCCATTTTACAAAGTTTTACACTCAGAGCACACAGTGCATTTGAGTATATTCAGGGTTTGATGTTTATTTATTTGATTAAATACAAGTGAAAGAGAGATAACAATAGCACATTTCTTGAGCATGGTTGAGGAAAACCATGATGAGCTGATTAAAAACCTTAAACCTATGAAAATGTATTTTATTCAATTCAGGTAATGTCAAAAAAGATTACTCATATCTCCAAACATTTTGTGCTATTGTTATATCAATATGGTCACATATAGTACTGTAATACTTTGTTTAATAGTAACAGATGAAAACAGAACAAAGTAATCAAGTTCTAGGGCAGGAAATACATTGTTCTGGGTCCCTTGGAACTTTAACATTAGTTATATTTTCCAAACATTGTCATCAGTCTTGAAACTCAAGATTGGCACGCTACATTAGATTTTGGCTCCACCTCGTAGTCATATAACAATGGGCATTTCAAAAAGTTCAGTAAGAATATTCCATTTCTTCTTTATACTCTTCCTAAATTAACTTTACGACCAAATGTTCATGTTCTCAGTTTTTAGAGACATAATGGGAAACAGAGAACAACATTTGCTTAAGTAAGAACATTTGTTATTTCTCTAAGAAATGTGATTTTTTGAAAGCATTGGCACTATGCATTATGTTCAAGGTATGACTTTCTATGCAGCTATGATGTAGGGAAGTCTTATCAAAAGGGATTTGAACTACGCATGGCAGAGTTACATCACATAGGTTAATTATCAATATTGCCCCAAATTTATCTCATCAGGATATTATATTCATATAATTATTCTTGGTTTAATTATGGTATACTAAAATGGCCAAATTATTTGAAATGACAAAAGGAAATATTGAATATTGTGTTAGAAATATTTTGAGAACCATTGGACATTTGCAAGTAGAGCAAAGGAGTCGAGTTTTTTGAACACACTTAAATGGAAGATGAATGAGTTTTGCATTCAACTCGCTCTCTTATGCCCAATTGTAAATTGCAAAACACCCTGTTTCATCAATAACTACTTCTAAGGAAAATGTAAAATACACTTCAACAGTTTTAAAAGAATGGTTCTCGGCACTTTCATTACTTGGAATGCCTGTGACTTTTTTGAGAATTGAGTAATGTGAAAAATGAATCAATCTCAGCTGTAAATGTTCAAATTATTAAAAATCTTGCCTTTTATTCCGTTGGTATTATGTAATTTTTTTCTGTACTTCCCTAATCATGAATAATATC